TAGTAGTGATGGGTTGCGATTCAATCAGCGGATTATTGTCAAATGAAACTTTTGGTTAATTATTTTATCTTAAGAAAAACATATTATTAAATTACTTTTTTCTTACTGTATATATTAATTGAGATAATATTTCGTCAAGCTTTAATGTCACTAGGAAAGAACTCTCTTTACCAATCAACATGTTCTATGTTCAAGCATCAACTAATACAATTTTTTACTAATATTAGTTCTATTGAACGTGTTCAACCACTCAGTGTTGATGTGACTGGGGGTGAACCGGTTTGATTTGGATTGTCTATGCCATATTTTAAACTCAAACTATTTTACGTGGTTTGGAATTTTTTTCAAACCAAACCAAACCATTATTTGCGGTTTCGTTTGGTTTTAATTCGCAGTTTACCCATCGATACTATAATAATATATTTAAAATAAGTTAACATATAAATTTACACAAGAACTAATAATGTTAAATACTAAATTACATTCATATTTTTTTTAAATTCGAAATACAAATAAAATGTAAAAAAGTAGTAGCAAGTTGGAATCTAGCAACAAGTTAATAGCTTTCTCCACTCAAACATTTACAAGAAACAATGTAGAAGCAGCAACACCCCTTCAAGCTTCATAAAAATTGCGATTGTAAAGGCAAAATGAGATTTTGCTGTTATAGTTTAGTTAAAACTCCTTTCGTTTTGTTAGTGATATGAAAAATAGGGACTGAACATGATATGTTTAAATATATAAAAACGATAGAGATCAGGCTTTATGGGAATGAATGAATTTCATTCTCTAATTACTTTAAGAAATAGGAGGCAGTAGTACTAGTTAGGAAACTTTAACATTTTCACACAGTCAATACTCTCTATCCTTCATTCTTTTCAAACAATAAACAAGTTCATTAATCACTTAGACACATAAACAGTCATTTTTCTATCCAAACTACAACCTACAAGTTTATAATAAGTTCAAAAACAACAAATATTTCACCAATGGAGGCAAAAAAGTAATGAATCGACCGAGAGTGAAGAAAATAATGAATACTTGATGAAGAAAAAAAGAAAGAACAATGGTGAAAATGACCTGAATGAGAATCTGAGACTGACAAAGAGAGAAGATAGAAAGAGACAACTTACATAGAAATTAGCAGACTAATATGCAAAAAGCGACTCACGATTAGCTATTGGTGTCGACGATTGGGACGTTCAGCAGTGTTGGCTAGGCATCAAATATTTGAGAAATAAGAGTTTAGGTTAGGCTTCTTGAAGCTTTGGGCATGATTTATTGCTTTAGTTTTGTTGAATAATGATTCCAATTGTCAAAAATATATGATTTTTTTATTCATTTCATATGATTTGGGGATAATTTTAATTTATTTTAGATATTGGGTCATCACGTGTGTAGTGGACTTGTAAAGCCATTGGCCAGTAATGATGAATCTAATTTACTTTATATGATTATTTCAAGTGGCTGGTTGTAATTTGTATTGCTAAATTTGTATTTTTTGAAAAGTGAAAATGGTAAAATTTATAATTTAATAAAATTAATTTTTTAATTAAATATAAAACCAACATATTTGGTTCGATTTGTGGTTCCGCGATTTTTTTGTGAAGCCGAAGGTGTGATATCTCCAAGAACGCAAGAAAGAAGTAGATGAACAAGTTGGAAATTATAAAATCTTGAACTATGAAAAACCCAACTTCAAGGTACATGTTGATGATTTCCTTAAGACGTTATTTGCCATCTCATTTCTGTGATATACTCAGGAACACAAATACGTCTCATAATACAATCAAGCATAATATTGTCTGTGTTGAGCATCAAAATTTGTATATGTCTATATTCGAGGTCTATACTTTGTCTCACAAAAATGACAAAGTATAAAGAATATTTTTGTAGGAAAATGGAGCAAATAATAAGTTTATTATGCACTAAAATCAAGTGAACAGACGAATGTTATATAGGCATAATATCAAAAAGCGTCTACAAAGTGGAAACATAAATTTACTTATATATAGATTTTCACATAACCCTTCATGTAAAGTTCAACCTTTCAATTGAATCTTAGGTATCAAAATGAAACCTTTTAAGAGCTTTTAAATAATGATAAACCACACAAACAACTAAAAATACGTCAAGGGATATCAAGTGCTCGAAGCGTGATAATAGCACATTTGTTCCGTTTTCACTCATTAATATATTTATGTTTCTATGATTATTTAACGCTTAAATGCACTAAGTACTTCTATATCTTGGTTTATGTTGCAAATGGGTGCAAACGGTGAAAAATTGAAGAAAATAGGGAAAAATGACCAAAATGGAAGAAAGTAAAAGCTCAAGAACTAAAGAGCAAATACTCTAAACTTGTTTCTAATCTTGTGATGAAGATTCAAGAGTGTTAGAGGTCCATTATATGAAAGAAGGAGTCAAATGGATGAAATATAGCCAAGACATTATCATATATCAACTATCAAGCTGAAAAGTTTTGCACCGAGTTTCAGCCTCACATTGAGAACAATTTTTGACATTGCAAACGATCGAATTTGAAGATAGTATCTGAATAAAGGTTGTATCCCTTTGAGTTATCTTTTTAGCGCATCTTGAATCACCTCAATCGGAGATCGGAAGAGAAAGTTATGACAAAAATACTGAAGAAGGCGCAGAATTCAGAATAGCGACATAGCGCCCAAGCGCCACATCCTAGCGCTCAGGCGCCATTTTACCCAAAATTTGACAGAATTCAAGC